TTGCCTAATAGGGACGATGTGATCTATATTCACCGTCTACTAAATCTGGTTTGCCTGAGAGACAGGTTCAACTGATACCATTTTCCCTAGGGAGTGGGGATGGGGCAGCAAGTGAGTCATGTTTGTAAAAATTATCAACTGTAATTTGAGATCATAATAAGCAGTAAGACAATCTGGTGGAAGGAGCATAGAACCCAGGATGGTGAGACCTGTGCCTTGGTTTACATCTCACCACTAAATTCCTATGGGCCCTTGGTCAAGTCAGGTACCAATCTGACTTCTCTCTCTAAAAAATGCCTACTCTGCAGCTGTTTTTTGAGGATCACGGAAGAGAGCAGATTTTGAAAGGATAATCATTGACATGAAAAACTTCATATTCTGGCTCCAACACTGTCCTAATGGCTGGTGGCAGAGCATGTTTAGTTTGGGGGACCGCCAAACACTGACCCTCACATCTCTGAACTCAGAAAAAACAGCAACAAAGAGAACTTGTAGCTCCTGACCCTTCAACCTGGCGTCAACATCTTTAGCGTGAATTCCGTTCTGGACACCATGTCACACAAACTACCAGCGAGTCCTCAGCATTTCAAGAAAAGCTAAGTAAGTAAGTTATAACTTCCCTTGAAAAAGAAAAAACCGACCTGGCAACTTTTTTCAGATTGTCCCACACTTGGCACTATCAGTGATCGTGAACATGAAGCAGAACTAATAGTTTCTAAGAGTAGCACAATTCTTAGTATCTTATAATAACCTAAAATGAAAAAGAATACATGCATGTAGAACTGAATCACTATGCTGTACACCAGAAACTAACACAACATTGTTTCTTTTAACTGCAGTATAGTAGATTTACAGAGCAGCACAATTGATATTTTTGCATTTGTCTCCAGCTTCTATTTCTAGAGATCGGCCAAGCCAATGAAGATTACATATATTTATCCACCTTTACTGATTGCTGGACGCACTCGGCTCTTTCTCTTATACTTTTTGCTACGGAGAAGTGGGCTTCAGGGGGTGTATCTTAAACCTAGAGCGGTAATAGCTACCAGTGTTACAAAAAGCCTCACTCTAAGATAGTTTTCCCTAAAAGTGGTCCTGAGGAATCATACCCTGGGAAGGCTCTGGTGTATTAACCTTTGTGATGTATTATGTTAGATGGGCCCTGGACACAGGCCTGAGTAGAGCAAAACCAAGGTTAAATGGTACAGGGCCCTTTCTCAGAAGTTATTTGACTAAGGAATTTATCAAATATAACTCCTGGAGTGTCACTGGAGAAGTGAAAAATAATACTAGAAGTCATTGTATTCCCTGCTCGAGATTTAGGACAGTTACATTACTTTAAAATATATCTGTGTTCATGGCTGTCAGAAGAAATCCTAACAAAATCCACACATTTGCCACATCCATTACCACTGTAAAGAATTGCTTTGAAATGCTTGCTGTCACAGTCACACGGCTTCAACTTCCTCATTTGAGGCTGGACATTTCTAGTTCTGGGCTGAAAGTCTGCACCCAAGGAGCCCAGCCGTGGTGGAGCACCTACCAACTGCAGAGTTCTCACCGCCAGTGCAAAATCGTCATTGCCAGCATCCTTGAGCACTTTTGTTTACCGTGCCTTGTGAGCGTACGACGGGTATGATCCAGTCAAAGTTCCATTCACTGACTAGGACTTCGTGGCTGGTAATACCGTTTCTCTATTTCACAGGAGGAGATATTAAGAGTTTACCCGGCCTCACGTAGGTGGTAAGTAGAGGAACTGGGTTCAGACCCAGCTTGGTGCTGACCCCAGAATATCCTCCCTGCAGTCAGGCTCACAGGGAGCCAGAGTTTAGGGGAAATGGGGCAGCGGGGGGTGGGGGCCTGGCGGCCCGTTGTATCTGTTTGACCATGAGTATTAAAGAACTCTGTTTTAACTGTCTTTAACACTAATTGAACACCTAAAAGAAAAAATTTCCAAAACACATAATATAAAAAGGATATTGTTATTAGGTTGAATGGCAACAGTCACCAGTGTCTGGTAGGCGGAAATGTCCAATCCTTTTCCCTAATTCTCTGATGGGACATGTCACCAACACAGAACCCAAACTAACAAAAAGAAGTGCCCTTAGTCCCCTATCCTTCCTTTTATAAAGTGTATGTTTTAAAACATCCTCCTTTCAAAGAAGCCACCAACCCTGCAGGAACTCAGCAGCGTCGGGGGAGCTCTTACAAGCAGCAGCATAGGATTTGAGGTTGGGCCCAGCTCCTCAGCAACTGCGCAGAAGGCAGTGTGTTATAGCCATCATGTTTAGCACCACTTCTAGATTCTTGGATGTTTTCTTCATGCATTGCCATCATTCTCCTTAAAAAATATACGGTAATAACGGCACGATCATCTTGTTTTGTGCTTAATAATGAGACAGATTAAAAACCGTAGCTACTCATGAGTGCAAAAGTGAAAAAGAAAAACGGCAAACAAAAAAGATAAGTCATTTGTTTAAGAACCTACAAATAAATTAAACCTTGCCTAAGATGTATTGATTTTGTGTGGCCTCTCCTGTGGAATAATGTCAAGAGTTCCTGACAATCCATTACATTCAATAGGCAAAATCTCCTTATAATTTTTTTTCTGTTTCCTGAACGATGTATAATCTATTTTTTTCCTTGATGAAAAAGCAGGGCTTTTTTTTATAAGCCTGAAAATTCTTTAAGGTAATGAACAAAGCTGACACCCTGTACCTGGAAAAGTTTTTTCCGATCATTTCTTCAACATCAATATGGAGAAAAATTAGTTATAACTGACTCTATAAATGATGTGTTAAATAAATCTAAATCCATGTATACTTTCTATATACTACCAGCTGAGTCCAGCAAACGGGAAATGATTATTTGGTCCTCTTTATTGTAAAGTTAGAAATGACACAGGGAGTGCTTTGCATCTTAACTAGAGATCCCCATTCAGTCCAGAAAGTGAAAATTTTAAAATTAATTATAGATTCCTGACTAATTTTCTATGAAAAGGATTCATTTCTGAGTATTTTTAGATCATTATTGGGAACTCATGCTTTACTGCCAGTACTAAAAGTAACCCCAAAGAAAAAATTTTAAAAATAGTGTATTTCACTACAACTTTAGAGAGGGGCTCATCTCAAACCTGTAATAAAAAGATTATTTTTACCATGAAAAAAAATAAAATGTGTCTACACTGATACTGAAAGAAAACAAATACAGATAGAACAATTCTAGTAGAAGAAGAGCAAATAGACCAATCCTTTTAATCTTTAAACCTGCAGTTACTCGTGTGTGTGTGTGTGTGTGTGTGCGCGTGCTGCAGTGCTATCTGTGCGTGCTCCTCCTGCTGATAGCCTGGTAGCAGGAGGGAAATGAAGATGCTGGGAATTTCCTAACTGAAAAGGAGATTTTGCACTTGTAGTGTTTCATAGTGTCATCTGGTTTGGAAGTTGGCAGTTGAGGGGCTTGGTGTGCCAGGCCATGGGATTCTGGAATTTCACAACTGTGCAGCTCTGAGGAGGGCTGTCTAACGGGGGAGTCTCGGAACCCGCCATCAAAGAGCCAGGCTATCTTGGAGCATGGTCAGAATATCCACGTTTTACGATCTCCTGGTGGTACCTACTTGATTCTCAAGATTTAACCTCGACTTCCTTAGAAACTCTCCCAGGCTAACTGCAGCTTTGAAAGGGTCCTCATAGGTAGCTGGTGAGTAACCTGCACAACAGGAAACTCCAGCTCAAGTAAGGAAACCCACACTTTTGGGAAACCCTTCATCCTAGAAGGAAAACTCCTATAGCTGTGCAGAACTTCTTATCCATCATCAAATATAGAGACCTGAGGCGGGCAAATAATGCTGATGAAAGAGTGTACCTCTAATGCTGGAACTGAGCACGTGGTCCTTCCTGAACTTCCTATGAGCTCCTGTGATGGGCAGACATTGTGCAGCACAGTGGAATCAAAAGTAAGTGGGATCTAGTTGTGTTTATAGTCCTTGAGTTTACTGTCTATGAGACAGACGCATGAAAGCATGGTTAGAATGTGGTATGAGATGTGTCCTAGAGGGCTGGACGCATAGGGCTAAAGACAGGAAGGACCAACTTACACTGCCTAGGGAAGAAAGGAAAGTTTCCGAGATTCTCCAAGCTCACTGCTGACTTCAGGGAGCGGGCAGAGGACCTCTGGAGGGTCCAGTGACTATTCGATGCCTCATACAGGATGTTAAATCTGTCTGATACCAGGTGATGCTGTTGCTGCTACCATTAGAGTAAGGCTTTGATTGAACTTCTCAGTTGCAGCCAAGAAAGTCTGGGGAAGGGGACACCTGATGGAAGGTCACCTCATCATCCAAGGTGAGACTCTGCTCTGTAGTGTCTGCTTCTCCCTGGTTCCTGCCCATGGGTCTGTGGACAAACCCAAGGCTGGTACATCTTGAAAGATACTCTCCTCTGTCTGAAAAATCCCCTGGTCTTTGTCCTCTCTCTCTTCTTTGCTTCCCAGTTAAACTTTTTGAAAAAAGTCATCTAAGCGTCTTATCTCCACTTCCTCATGCTGTATTCCATTAGCAACCTTCCATAAACTGGCCTCCAGAGAGCCTGCTCTGAAATTGCTCAAGCCAAAACTCCATCAGTGTATTAATGGTCAGATCTGATGGGCAGGTCCTGGGCTCCTTCCTGTCTGGCCCCTGCAGCATCCAACATTACTAATCACTGGTCCATCTCACTACACTCCCCTCCTTTTTTTTTTTTTAAATTTTTTCCCCTCTTCATTGTTCATATATATATATATTTATTTATTTATTGAAATATAGTCAGTTATAATTTGTCAATTTCTGGTGTACAGCACAGTGTCCCAGTCATGCATCTATGTATACATATATTCATTTTCATTAATGGTTATTACAAGATATTGAATATAGTTCCCTGTGCTATACAGAACAAGTTTGTTTTTTATTTATTTTTATATATAGTGGTTAACGTTTGCAAATCTCAAACTCCCAAATGTATCCCTACCCACCCGCTTTCCCCTGGTAACCATAAGATTGTTTAAATGGTACTATGTCCCCTTCTACTTTCTCCCCTCTTTGTCCACATCTAGAAAAATTGTACACAGGCTGCCCTTTCTCTATCTACCAGCTCTATAGCTGTGCTCAGACTTTCCCTACACCAGTATTTCTCAACCTTGAGCACACATCAGCATCACCTGGAAGTCACCTCACCCTAGAAATTTAGATTCCACAGGTCTAAGGGTGGGGCCCAAGGGTTTGCATTTAGAAAAACAAAACAAGTTCCAGGTGACTCTGTTGCTAGCCTGGGACCACAGTGTGAGAGCCACAGCCTTAACCAGTCTTTTCTAAACCTGTGACTTCAGCCACCACCCCACTGATGATTCACTTGCATGGGCGTTCCTGAAACCTCAGACTTGGATAGCTCTTTATCACATCTCTATCCCAGTGTCCTCCAAGCCCCTGATCTTAATCTGCCCCAAGTGGAGCGAGTCAAATCTCCTTTGCTCTTACCTCTCCACACCCCCAAATCTGCTCCTCCTCCTGTATTTACTCTGTTGGAGAAAGACACTGCCCCCTACCTTAGCCTTGACATGCCACAAACTCCTAGGGATTACTGCCGTCAGGTTCTCTGGTTCACAGAGTGCCTCCCAAGCCCACTGTCACTGCCATGCCCAGGCCCTCACAGAAGCCCTCATCTCTGGGGACCCTGATGGACCCACAGCAAATGTGTTCCTTTTGCCGGAATTCCCTCTTTGAGGTTAGTTGCCCCCCTAGTACCCATAGCCATACCCTGACCACGTGCACTCACTAGGCACACTGGGTCAGCCTGGGCTGCTCTAGCAAACCACGTAGACTGGGGGGCTCAGATAACAGACCTTTCCTTCTCGCTGCTCTGGAGGCTGGAAGTCTAAGGTCAAGGTTGCCAGCAGATTCAGCATCTGGTGAGACCTGGTTTGCATACGGCTGCCTTCTTACTAAATCCTCACATGGTGGGGAAAGAGAGAATCCCTCACATGTCTCTTCCTTTAAGGACACTGACCCCATTTGTGAGGGCCCCACCCTCATGTCCTAGTCACTTCCCAAAGGCCCCGCCTCCAGGTAGAGAGTAAGACTTCAACATATAAATCAGGGGGTGGGGTGGGGTGCCTGCTCTGTTGATATTTTAGAAACATATATTTAATTTTAGTAGCACCAGTGTCTGCTAATGTGCAAGGCACCCTGAAAGGACCAACATTTTGTTCTGACCTAAGAACGTCCTGGGAAGAAATACACTGCTTCTGAAATCTCGGGTGTTGTTACACCCCTTTCAGTTCCCCTGGTGATTAAGCCATCTCTGAAGGGACTGTAGTACATACACTTCTCTCTCTGGATGAGCTTGTTAACGTTACTAACAAATAATTCTAGGTGCATTTTACTCCAGCAACAGCGATAGTTGGCAATGGATTCCTTTGAAATAAGTTTGCGTTCAGACAATAAGCTAAGTACTCTTCGGTAAGGCTGAGGAGTAGAGAGAGATTTAAGGAGATGTGGGCTCTAGGTCCGGCTCAGCTGTAAGCCGTCCAAACTCCATGGACTCGAGATCTTTTCTGATAAAAGGAGGTACTTGGCTTCTCTAGCTTCTCTTAGGGCAGTTTTTAGCCTTTTAGTTTAGCATATTAACAATAATGTCCAATCTAGTAAAGTAAATGCAAGCGTGAGCTGATGGGCTGTCCCTCTGTGTGACTGCATGAAACGTTAAGGAGCAACGGAGAACTGTGGAGTCAAAGCAGAGTACCCTTGTGTATAAGAACCTGTACCTGGATCCTCGATCCATGGAGAGGCCCAAACCCTAGACTCGGTGGAAATGGTGGCAAAAGGAGCCCAGTGGAAGAGTCACCTCCACAGATAGAACAGTTCACTGAAGTGAAACTAATGTCAGGAATATTGCAATTTCTTATACACATGGTGAGGCTAACACTTTAGCAATTCACACTTTTGACACGGTGCCCTCTGAACACATCTTAATTCTTTTGTCTCTAATGTCTCACATCAATGAGACAGGAGGGAAGGGGGCAGCACACAGCTATTAAAGTAACGACACAGCAGTTAGCACCAAGATGGCGAACAGTCACCTCCCAGTAGACCCCGAGGCCCAAGGTGGCGGGAGATTTGACTTCGAGTAGGCCTTGAGCTACATTATACACACTGAAATGGACTAGCACGTGAATGACACACCCACAGGTGCCATGACAGTTCCGAGGCTAACCATGAAGGGTCAAAAAGAGAGCAGTGGCCCAATTCCTAGAAATCCCTGCCCATTCACCAAAGTAGTTGGAAAAATCCTCTCACTTGTTAGCATATAAAAACTAGCAACGCTACGCCTCACGGTCGTTCCCTCCTGCGATGGCCTGCACTCTGTTTATGGAGTGTACACCTCTCTTAGTCTACTTTTACTCAATTATGGTTTGCTCTTGAAGTCTTTCCTGCATGAAGCCAAGGACCCTTACTTGGCAGAGTGTGTCCCAGGGACTCAACCGAGACCTGGGTCATGGCCATCGTCTCCTGCCCCCTTTATTTTCCTCTGTCGTCAACATTGAAAAAGTTATAGTCAAAAGATCACCAGAATCCAAGCTAGCAGAGTATCAACATGCATATTTCCTCTTAAACCATAAGGCCACATGATTCTCGTGAATATTAAATGTAGAGAACCACCGCTAAGTCAAAAAGGACCCACTCAGGTATGGCCTAACGGTGACATCCTGCAATTCACATGGTCTCGGTCAACACCTAGAAGGTCACCATTTAGTTCTTTGATGAGGCATTGTCTTCCCTTGCTTCTGGGAGTTCTCAGTTACACAGATACTATCTTTATTTGAGGTTGCAGGACTAACCAGTCTATCATTTTAAAACCTGTTTTTCATTGTCATATCATCCTAAGAGAGAGTGTCTATGCCAAAGCCTAAAATCATAGGATCACTGTTGCTAGCTGGGGTAGCAAGGAAGAACATTCAGTACCAGTAAGACCTCTTTGATACATCGCATGCAAATGAAGGCGGCAATGAATTATTTCATCGATGCTGTCCAAACTCAAATGCACCCTGTTGAACTTTCCCTTAGCTTGATACCACAACCATCAAATACAAAGGCAGTGGAGGGAAGGGTCGCTGTAATATGCAACACAATAAATACATCAATTGAAGACCAACATTAAAAGAGTTATTTGCTAATGGGCACCATGCCAGGGTTACTCAGGCAGTGCTGCTTGCAGAATTCCTAAGCTGAGTTCACAAGATACAGATCGATGCACCTCCAAAGAGAGTCTATATCAATCTCCATTTCATTCATTAGCTCCCACTCCAAGCTGGTTGGCTGCTAGTTAACTCTTTAATGTGGGAGAAACTGTCAGTGTAAAGGCCACTGGGACACGTGCTCTTCCCAGCTGTACTTGACCTGTCAATATTTCTTGCAGCAGAATGTTTAAACTGGTCCGGCTAATGGCAAAATGGAGACCTGTGGGGTTTGGAAGGCTTTCATAGCTTTAGAATGGCTTACCATCCAATAGCAAACATTAGTAAATTCACCCCGTTGCTGTATTTCTGCCTTGCTTTACTATCCAGGTGCATGGAAACTGGGATAAAATTATTTCCCATAGTTTTATTCTTGAACTCAAAGGTATTTTAGACTACACATTATGTAAATGTGGGCTCCGCTACAATGAGATGCGATCACACCAAGGACCTGGCTGCAGTGGAGATCATTAGTTTGTGATTCAGCTCTAAAGCAGCTCCAAACAATGAGGGGAGCAAAGCAGCACTTTCCGTCAAGTTAGGATTCGTTTTCAATTTGTATTGGTCCAGGGACAACTTTATTGTTACGCCGTGGAGGAACCTGGATGCTCTGGGGGACGCGCGGTGCATGAACTATTTCAAGCCCTTCTGAAAATGTAAATAAGAGCCCTAAAACATAAAGGCATAATTACCAAAACAAAGAACAGCCTCAGACCACCAGGAATAGCTGGCTTCGCTTATTTTCTTTCTACAAATATTGAATTTACTAATTTCCCTTGCCTTACTGTTGAATAAAATCAATTTTCTCAGTAGAGCTGATCTCTGCTTTGTTTGAGGTTAGATGTGAGGTTGATATGCGTCCTTAGATATACTGTTTGGGAGAAAGCCTTGAATATTTAACCCTACGTCACAGCGGGCCCTCCCTTCTCCGTCCTGTGGGGCGTCTATTGATTCATTATTTGACAATCAGGATTCTCCATAGGTTAATTGACATGTTTGGAATTCATGGCAAGAAAATCTGTGCATTATTTTAAAACTCCTGTCAAATTGTTTGTAGATATGGTTTGATAACAACACCTGTTTTTTTCCCTCTCTTGGCCAATACAATCCACTGAGAATCCTGGCTTAAAAAATTTCCCTGCAGAATTGTCAAACATATGTATTTGTATTTCATTACTTGGGTAATAGCTGATTTGCCAAGTTCATTTACTACTAGTTGCTTCTCAAACATCTCAGTGGGATAATTAAGGAATACTAAGAACTGAAACTGTACTAAGTTAGGAGGGGGCTGGAGCCATTGCCCAAATCCCAGTCCTGATTAAACTGCTGTCCAGAATTAAATATTCAATAACTGAAACGCTCTTTTCTTCCTTTACTCTGAGCAACTTATCATCAAGAAGACGAAGCTACTCCCCAAGTTGTGCAAGAGAGACCCCCCTCAAATTATCTGTACCAGTCAGATCAAAATCCTGCAGACTTTCAAGTGAAAAGTATTTAAACTCAAAACTGGCAATGGTCCAAGTGGTGCCTTTTCTCAGCGGATATAGACGTGGGGAGGGGAAATGAATAGTAACTTCAGGAGCATGTCTTGGAAAGGAGTTAAGAAAGGCCAGGCACAGTTCAAGGTTACAGCTGAACACAAGGGCACTGATGAGAATTTGGACAGCTAATACCCTCTCTTGAGAAATTGTGAATGCGAAGGATCTGGAGAAGAATGTTGAAGTATGATAGCATTAGAGTTTAAATGCTCTCCAAGAATCTTGCTGGCTCATTGCACAAAGAAAAGAGAGAGATTTTAATCATGAGCTATCTATCATCACCTGAATTTGAATGCCTGTTGTTTGAAGTCACAAGCTACTGACTCCCATGATGTAAGTTTGCAGGTCTATTGCTGGAACAAAAAAGGGATGAAAACTGGTGGAGGAACACACACACACACACACACACACACACACACCACCCCCCGGACAGAAAGAAGATGTGTCTAAAATGCTGCTCTTTTAAACAAACACACACACACACACACACACACACACACCACCCCCTGGACAGAAAGAAGATGTGTCTAAAATGCTGCTCTTTTAAATGTTGGACAAGGAGAAGTAATAATAATTGAATGGTGAGTTTCTCAGAATCTTGCCTCTGGAGAAAATGGGAATTTATGAGAGACGGGGGAGAATGTGTTTGAAAATAAACTGTTGAGGAGTACAAGCCCCACTGCTATCATAAGACAAATGCATTCACTTCTGCAGTCCGTAAGTTTCCCAAGTTCACATCCACACTGCAGGAAAGGCCACCCAGGGACCCAGAACAAAGCTCTGTTTAAAGTGCAGGCACCAAACTAAGAGATAGCTGAGCTCTCTTGTTAGACAAAGAGTTTAATGTGAAAGGGCAGTTCTGACGATGATCCTCACTTACTTCCCATTTCTCTTGTTTCAAGATGTATTCCTTTTAGTCCTATAGCTGATAGACTCAAGGAGACCCTTAATAATTCCTGAGAGTGATCCAGAGTCTTCCACCAGCTACGCATTGGGTGTTCATCAGGGAGGTATTATTGATTTTCCAAAAGTGAAAAAGTTACCTAACTTAGGACTGACATGATCTTGTTTTACCCTATTTCATTACATGAGAAAATGGTATAGTTTTTTTGCTCTCTCAATGCCCAGGAGCCCAGGCTTAAGGAGGGGAAACAGTTCACTCTTCAAATAAAATAAAAGTAAAGACAGAAGAGCCGAGAGCTTCTCTTGTCACATTTCTGCAATTTCCGGCTTTCAAGCCGCCACTTAACAAGCCACTTCTTGACATAATCTTTAGGCTTAAGCATGTGGAACAGTGGACCAACCAGCTTAATCAAAAGACAAAGATGATATGCAACTAATGGACAGAGCATCACAACTAGGTGTTAACACATCATTCATTGAACTAAATGCTCTTTCAAACTCTGCAGCAGAAACAATTAAAGTACTGACGGCAGTCTTAAGTTGCTTCAAATCGTCTGGCACAATTGATCCACAATTATCTTTGTACTCCCCGAAGCCCCAGAATGCTACCTTCTTCACTGACTTTAAATTTCCTTCACAGTTCTCCAATCTGTGTTCTGGCATACTGAATATCTGACACGCTGAATATCCACTGGAGAAGACCATTTTGATAGATCTTGGAATCCTAAATATCCTATTAAAAATCTGAGCTGTATGCCTCTTGAATGCTTATAACCAGCTCTTCATAACAAACAAGAAATCTTACTGAAAATTTAAAGATGAGTTAAACTTTAAGACAGAGGAGATGAACTAATTCTTCCATTCGTTTCATAACACCACTCGTTAGAGAAAACCTATGATATAGAATTTACGGCAGAGAGGCCAATTGTATTTCCAAAGTTTGAACTTTAAAATCACCCATGTCTGGTATGGTCAAGGAATTTTGTTCACTATTTTTGCATCCTTGGGCTAAGACTCTCATGACCAGTATCAGCACTACTGGTAAAACATGTTCCTGAATGTTCATTTACATGGTGGTTTGGGCATCTCTGTCAAAAGGAAAATTATTAAGTGGCTATTTCATCACAATTACTGTGGACATCCTATGAAACACAACCAGATGTGCTTTGTTTCCAAGGTGTTGTGAGAAGGAATTTGTTTTGGAACACAGGCAGTGATGCGTTCATTAACACTATTGTCTACAAATAAATATTTTTCTAATTAATTTTTTTTACTTTACTCCCCCCCTTTTTTTTTGATGTCTGCAGGAAATTGTGCAGTTACGGGAGTGAAAAACCTTGAAGATGGAGACAGTAAGCTGCCTACCTTGACTAAAGGCGCTGTTGTCCTCAGAGGGACACAGTATTGGATCCCCGCTGAGAAGTCAAGCTTAGCCGTCATCTGACGACCTGCACTTGGGTGTATGCACGGACAGAACTGAGTCATGTGATAGGACAGATCACCGATTACCTTTCTTTTTAAACTGCCCATTTGACTTCTTTTCTCAGGTGCGCTTGATCTAGAAATGGTTAAGAATATTTTAACTGGAACCAAAATTGCCAAGGTTCTTGGATTTCACAAAGTAAAAGCTAATAAACAGTGATGAGGGCATTGGTTTCATCAGGGAATAAAAAAACAAAACTTTTATTTGTGCAGGAAGGGAGGATCTTCAGCAGGGTCTCACGTTTGCTGTCTTGGTTCCGTTTCCCCAATATTGCTGTGAAGAACTCTGCATGGATTTCTATGGATCTTGTTTAAAATGTTTATTAAAACTGCTACTTGACACAAATTTTATTCTTTCATACTGCCTAATTTCTTTCTAGCCTCTCTGAATAATAATTCACACAGGCTATTGACTATGCATGTGACAATAATATGTATATATATCATACATTCTCTAATTCTTTTGATGCTTTTGCCTCTGGCTTGGGGGAAATGTTAATATTATAGAAGATTTAATTTCAGGAAATAAGCACAATATTTTACGGTTAACAAACATTAGTACTGGAAGCCTCACTCCCATACCCAATCCCTCTTCACCTGTTTACTTTTCATTTTCTCCCCCCTCTGCACTTACAACCTTAACTACATATAACTGACCGGTTTGACTGCATCTTCTGTTCATTGTCTATTTCCTTTCACTGGTGTAACCTCAGCACCTTGAACGGTGCCTGTCACATAGTAGCTGATCAACAGACACTTGTTAATGAATGAGGAGTATTACTAGTCATAATAATGCAGTTTTCATCCTATAATTCCTTGACTCTATCATTCCCAGTAAGTTAATGATGGCCCAATAATCTACGTTTAATACTCATGCCAAGGAAGATTGCTAACAGTGTTAAGTATTAATTGCCTCACATACAGTGGAAGGTATACATCACTGGAGAATTTTTAAGTCTTGTATAAAATCTTGTATAAGAAGCACTGTTTTTCATATATTCAAAATTTGAGATATTTACTTATCATCTGAAAAAGACAGGTAAATTTTGGGAAATACAGTGACTACTTCTGGAATTCCTTATTGTAACTGTATACAGTTTCCCTTCCAAAAGTAAATTCTATACAACTATTACTTTCAGTAAGATGAAAAACAAATTTTAGTGTACTTACTAGATGATTACAGATTCATATTCATTCTCATTGCCTCTTTCTCCCTCTGTCTCTCACACACAAAGGATGTGGGAGAAAGAACTGTGAGAAAAGCCCTGATATAAACGTATAAATGCAGAGAGGAAGGAGGGAGAAGTCAGAAGTCCTAGCTGGTAGTGTTAGTTCGCTAATACCCAGCCAAGTGATCTTGGCCATTAATTTCTCTTTGAAGATTCTGTTTTATCACTGATTAAACATTTAAGATCCTATCACTCTCTCACAAGTCTGTAAGCCCACAGATGGAAGATAGAAAAAAGTGGGAAAAGGAAGTTTATTTGTGTAAGTGATGCCAGTAGCCTTTCAATTTTTGATGTATTGAAAAATCACTAATTCCCATATTGCTTTATTATTTCCCTTTTAAAATCTCATTTATCCCTAATGTTTATCCTAGAACATTATCATCATTCTTTGGAGACACAGAGTTAATGTCTGGTTCCCCCAACTCCAAGCAGTGCCTTTGGTGAACTACGGTGCCTGTATAATTAATCAGAGGAAATTTCAAAATAGTTTATGCATCAATCTCTTTGACAACATATCTACTAGCTTATTTCATCGTGCTTTTGGAATGATGCCAGATAGCAAGAGCTAGTATCTGCAGGCAAAGCTTGTCCTAACACCTGCTTTGCTACCTACCCTCCTAGATACAGGTGGTTCACCAAAAACAAGCCAGTATACAGAAATTTCACTAATTCACTTCTGTATATTTAATCAGCCCCAGCCATCCCACAGCTTCTTCCAAGGAATTCGTCCTTACTTATCACAAGTGGACCAGGGAGCAGCTCCCTTACAGTAAAGACTTTTCCCTATTGTATCAGAAGCTCCTGTATGTTGGCTACACTGAAGAGTGATCTCACCTATCATGTTTATGCCTACAGTTTCATGCTCAGAAATTAAAACAAGCTGGTTGGGACAAGTTTAGGCAGATCTACACTTTGTATTTTTAATTTGTAAGACCAACAAGATATAAAGAATGGAAAATAATAAACATATTATTCCCATTTTGAAATTTAAGTCATCAAAGCAGAGCCAGTGCCAAGATCACCAATTAGGCCCCCAGTAAGACCAAGATTACAGTAAGAGAGTTCTTGATATGTTATTTACGTTTCCAATTATATAAAAGGTCATCTTGCACTAAGACCCTACACAGTCAAACAGAAAAAACACTGGATTGGAAATCAAACAATATGGATTTTACCACTAATTTAATATAATACCTTAGGTAGTTATCCCAGTTATGACTTCATTCAATACTAATTTATTTAATAAACAATTAAATACCTATTCTGTGCACACATACATGCATGAAATAGGCAGAAAGTAGTTTCAAGGTGACAGATTGACAAGAGAGTGTATAAACCACATGTACAAACACTGAGGGAATTCAAAGGAATTGCTCTTACGGGTCTCTGCTGGGCTGACTAGTTTTGACATCTGGCCCTTCCATTCAAACTGACAATGACATACTTAACCAAATTAGAAGGTTGTTTTGGACTTGTGAAAATACAACTTCAGATTCTTTTTTTGACTATCAATTTCCCTAGACTTAAAATAAAATAATACTCTAATAAAATGAAAACTATATACTTCTTCTCAAGTGCTACGGAATATTCTAAACCAGTGATTCTCTTTATTTTCTATGTTGAGGACTTTTGAAAATCTTATAAATGCTACAACAACAACAAAAACCCCTCACCTCTGAGACAGAAGTGAAGGGGGACAGGGCACAACCTTTAAAAGAACGACATGGCTGTTGATACTGCAATAACTGGTTAGGACCAGCTAGGCCCAGGAGGGTGGAAGACTGCCTTCCAGTGGACCTTGATCCTCACCCCACACTCACTGTAACACATTCGCATGCTAGATGACACACCCACAGGTGCCATGACAGTTCTGAGGTCGACCAAAGCCCACACAGTGGGTGGTAGCCTGATTCCTGAAAATCCCTGCCCCTTCCTCAAAATACTTGGAATAATCCTTCTGCTTGTTAGGGTATGAAATTACCCAGCCCATAAAATCCAAAAACCTCACACCCCTCCTGAGACAAACTGCATTCTGCCTATGGAATGTGTATCTCTCTAAATAAACTTGCTCTCACTTCACTTTGGCTCACTCTTGTGTTCTCTCCTGCATGAAGCCAAGAACCCTCACTTGGTGGCCCATCCCAGGAATTTGCCTAATACCTGGGACGTGACCAATCCCTTGCTCCATCTTCTCCTGCAACACCTCCAATCATTAAAAAAACAAAGGAACACAAAATTTTGTATCAATTTCAGGGATTCAGAAGTTCCCTAAACCCAACTCCTGGATCCCAGGTTAGAAACCTGTGCCCTAAACCAAAAGGCAACAATCAAGTTCAGGCCAATGCCCTCATTTGCTGTGATGTTCTTGATTCTTCCTCCACAGTCCATACATTCCATAGACATTATTGAGCATCTGAGATGTGCCACATGCTATTCTAGGTGATGGGATATCTTAGGGAGCAAAACAGATAAAGTATCCTGACCTCTGGAGGGCAGATGACCGAGAATAAACAAAAGCAATAACTAAATTATATGGCATGCCGGTGGATGTTATGTACTTAGGGAAAAAATAAAGTTGGGAAAGGGTTTGTTGTGCCAGGGAGCATGGAGAGGGAGGTTTGCAATTTTAAATACGGTAGTTGGAGAAGCCCCATGGAACACACGATGTTTAAATAGACTCAGAGGAGATAAAGGAACAGCCAGGTAGGTATCTAGGAAGAATGTTCCAAGAAGAACAAACACAAGAGCAAGTGAAGCCAAGCAGAACCGTGTGGGGTCCTCCCTGGTACAGATCCTTTCTGTCCCCCATTTCTTGTTGTAGGAAATAGATTTCATTCAGCCTCCTTGACCTTCCGTGAGTTCCAAGGACAGATTCAAACAGTTGCCAATCAGGGAAGGGAGGGGATGCAGAGACAATGGAGGAATAGTCAAGAAACAATGTGCAGCCTTGAGGCAGGATCCTGGTTCCTTCTCAAGGAATACATATAACAATCTCTCTGAGTTTTTCTGCAGGAACTAAGGCCCCACCCAGGAGGAGGATGGCAACTTCATGCTGAGTACAAGATCCTTAGAACACCACCCTGTTACCTCACTACCAGCCAGTTAGGAGAAAGACACACACCTTGCAGCCCTCACTCTGAATTTTGCCTATAAAAACTTTTCCCCCAAAACCATCAGAGAGTTCGAATTTTTCGAGAACCACCTGTTCTCCTTGCTTGGCCCTGCAAGAAACCTTCCTCTGCTCCAAACTCTGATATTTTGGTTTGTTTGGCCTTACTGTGTGCCAGGCACAAGAACTTCTGTACAACAAGGGTCCTGAGAGTGTGGAGCCTGATAAACAGGCAGGAGAACTGGAATGAAGTGAGAGATGGGGAGACACTAGGAGAGAAAAATCAGAGAAATAAAAGGTGTGTGGGGAGGGGACAGTGGCAAGTCACAAAGGACCGCAAAGGGATTTTAATGATTTGGGGATGGGAAATCTTTGGAGGGTATGAAGCAAAGTAATGTGATCTGATTTATGTTTGAACAGGTTGTGAGGCAAGAGATCGGCAGTTTTGGGGTCACTGGAGAGGTCCAGAGATGGGTGATGAAGCTTGGACCACAGTGGTAGCTGGGAAGGGGAGAGAAGTCATCAGATTTGGGGTGTATTTTGAAGGTGTGTCCAAATGCTGATGTGTTCTCTGTGGAGTGTGATAAAAACAGAGGTCAAGTATGCATCCAGGGTTGTTTTGGCCTAAGTTTTTCCATTAACTTCAACTGCAAAAGAGGAACAGAATGGGAGTTAGGGGTGGCAGTAATGGTAGTACCAGAATTCGAAGCTTTGCTGGAAAAATACTGTCTACTCTCCATTCTACTTGTAGGCTGATCTGAATTTCTCCACTCTTTTTTATGACCAGTATTTTCAGCAGAAAGTTGGACTTCCTACATTTACTTTTATTTAGTTTGTAATTAAATGGATCAGATCCTCCCCGCAAAGTCTTCCTTGACTAGTCTCGCCTCCTTTTCCGAATTCACAGCCCAGTCTGGCCGGGCACTTTTAGAACTGTTTATAGAACCTCTAAGTGTCACGTCGGTCTTGATGTTCTTTCCTCCTAATTAGAACTTAAGGTCCAAAAAT